CAGAAACAGCATCACACCCCAGATGTTTAGAAGACATGGTATCAGCACACCCTGTACAATAAATAATATAAAAAAGGAACGAACACAGACTTTAAGAAACAAGTGACTGGGACTATGATTTAAAACATTGCAAGTGTCAGTCGTTTATCAGTATGCTAAAATAGAAGTTTGTATGTTGATTGATTTATCTTACTAATATTATAAGTTTGTAGCCTAAACGGCTGAAGGGATCTCGATGAGATTTGCCATATACGTAGAAAGTTATTTGAAAGAACACATAGGCTACTCGCTTTTATAATTCCACGAGGACGGAGTCGCGGGCGAAAGCTATTTTGTAAATAGTTTTAAGAAATGTATAGACCAGACATAGGGAACAACATTTTTTCACCGGTAACTTCTTTGAACGGTAATGTCTAAATTTCAAATTCGACACGCCGAAACGCTTATTGGTGTTTGAATTATTTGTGATTTTGATTTTTTGCACACCAGGTAGCGCTAGTGAGATAATGTGAAAAATGTTTCAAGAGAAGTGAAATATGCTTCCTCTAAGATATATTTTTTTAATCTCTTTGTACAGTAAGCTGTGTTAAATACTGAGTCCAACATAAAATGACCTCTAATTACGTAAAAATACAAGTGCAATTCGCGGTATTGGTGGAATAGTTAAAAGTTATAATCAGCATAGAAGAACACATTCTAGATAACCTTATTCTTATTCCGGTCGACTATAAATATAAGATAATATTGGAATTCTTACCTGAATCCATCCTAATTTTATTCCGACTACAGGCGTCGGTGATTTCGTATCCCTTTGGTTTTGTCTTTGTTCGTCCTGAAAAAGCAACACTTTGAAATAAACACGAAACAAGGTTAAATAAAACTTGTAACAATTACACAACAAACATAACAAGTGTTACTAAGGTTGTTAAGGTAGTTTACAAAATGCTAGTGTGACATTTGACTCCTTTTACCTATCGATTTTAAGTGAGGGTAGTCTGGAATTACGTTTAGAAAACATTACAAATAAAACTTTTATTTCGATGATAGTTTTAATATCTCTTACTTCGTGCGTTTGTTATAAATAATTATGGTTTTGTTGATTTCGAATAAAGTAATCAATATTCGAGATCTTACAATAAATAACTATATTTACTTCTTTATGTAATAATGCAAATTGCACACATCATTGACCATGCGCAGTAACATTGCCTGTTAGGGTTACTAACGCATACTTTTCCATGATATGATTTCTATTCATATTTTTCCTTAAAATTTAAATTGTCGGTTAATTAAGTAAATTGTATATAGCACATTAAATTGAATATTAAATCTAAACTTAGGTACATAAATAAATTATTAAATGAATTTCAGTATGCCCGTATAGATAAAAAAAACACTGACCAAGGTAATATCTTATGTACCGTAGTGACAGTAAACTAAAGTTATCTATTACTTTTTTAATTCAATTTAATACTTTTATATACTAATATTATAAATAGGAAAGATTTGTATTTTTGTATGTATTGAAATAAATCAAAAACTACTGGGCTGATTTTAAAAATTCTTCACCGTTAGAAAGGTTTATCTGTAACAAAGCTACATTTTTTAATTACAAGCGAGCGAAGTCGCGTGCAACATCTATTCTATACTAATTTAGATTATTGAAATCTGGATTTGATTAACTAAGTCATCGCATAGAGTTGTCACAATAAGCAATATGTTTAAACAACGCTTATAGATGGGTTGCGCGTGCGCAGGAAAGCGTTTATAAGCTTTGATGTAGAACATTCCATCATTAATATGCGTCACTGCCACACTAACATTATGATCTATAATTTGTAAGAAAACTCTGTCAATGACAATAATACAATATTAATAGCATCGTAGTTTTTTTTCTGTAAATTCCAAGGGAATTATTTACATTTAAAAATAATTGCGTCTTCTTAGCCAACAACGCCTTCATGTGTAGTACACACTAATATCACAAGTGACTTGGTAAGAGAAATAACTTCTAAATTAAAAATGAGTAGTATATATTATTAGTATCTTTAACACATATATTAGAAGTATTAGTATTATAGTAGTCCAGCAATTTATTTTTGATGTTGTGACAGCCCTAGTACAAGCGACAGATATGATGTGCGGACAGCGGTGAGCGGTGACTGCACCGCACCTTGCACTGGCGCATGCAATTATTTGCAAATGTGCCTTAACACCTATAACAACTGAATAAACAGATTCATTATGCCTTACAGCTGTTTATGACGATTTACGATTTTAATATATCACCTGTTAACTGTTACACATAAAGTAGGATGTAAAAGTACAGATTAAAGAGAATTTTAATGGAGTGGAAACGCAAAATCTGTGGTAGAATTGTACGCTAATTTTATAGATTGCATCAAAATTAAAAATTGTAACTAATTTATTTTTTCTAACCTAGTTTTCTAACCTAAAAATTTTCGTTATTTCTCTACTATTCTTTGTCTCTATTCTGTCAGTTATCGTGTAAATATTACATTTGTAGAAATTATTGGTCCAAAACAAACGCATCGAAAGAAAATTTCAACAATGAAATATATAGAGGCCATACTAAATTGTACAGAAAAAATCTCTACAACTAGATAATACAGAACAGTAGTGGCCTGGACCAAATCATACCGGTGAGAACCGCACCGCACAATACAATATCACCGAGAAAATGGCGAACAATAAATTAGTCTTTGTTTTAAGTGGACGTCGACGCTAGTTAATTGATGTCAATAATTAAAAAAATATTTCTAGATGACATAATTTTTTTTTAACAAATTGTCTAGGAGACTCCATATTGCTGCCGTACAGTACCATTTTGTACTTTAAAAATGGCTCTCTAACAATAACAATCAACTTTCTTATTATAATATATGCCTTGTCTTAATAATTGTAAACGAAATTTCACGTTATTTATATGGTAGCACAATAAAATTATCCTTAATTTAAACATCAACATGCAAACAACAACAGTTTTATTTTGATTTTATAAACGGCGATGGATCGTGGATAAGTCCAATTTACGACCTAGGCTGTTAAAATTCTATAAGCTTATTCTAATTTATTTCAAGAATTGTGTATTATTTAATGAAACTGTTTCGTTGTGAATACATGACCTAGGAACAAATTTTTAGTTTTTAGTTAACAGGAAAACCAGACATGTTTGTTTTCACAAATGAACAGAATCTGCAAAAATACTTGACCGTCTATGTATTTCTAGTGTACTATCAGAAAAAGAATGTCTAATCGAAGCATTAATGTTTGTTTCCATTGACGATACAGTAGTACCAAAATATAATGACGTCCTCCTCACACTTCATGAAAAAATAGAGACAACAGTCTACAGTGATGCACACCTACATAAACGATGGTGCCGTATATTAACTAAAATAGCTTATTGAACTATCTATTCGCGATGATTCCGTCACAACCTTTCTATGATAAATTGCTATGCAATTATTGTTCTTCCACCAACGAGCCTTCAAGTAGAACCTTGACATATCTGATAAAATCTTTGCAATATGCATTTTTCCTGGTAAAGAAGTCTATTGGGAACAAGACGGTGATAAATATTTTAATTTACATTTGTCCTTTTATCTTAAACGATTTACGAAGTCTGGCTGTTTTAGGATTTTTGAGGTTATTGCTGTTTTCGTGCATTGAACATTTCCTCAATTTATGATGACTTCATCAGCTAACCATGAAATTTAGATTTAAACAACTAGCCTAGAACTGTGATCTTCAGTTTATGTCAGTTTCGGATTCTAATGAAAATACAACTACTACTAGAGTAATACCTCTTCAGTGATAAGATTGTCTCCATGCAACTCTCCCAAGCTGGGCCTTTTCAAAGCACGCTTTGAGTTCCTATAATTCTCCATACGCGGCAACGCTTCCCTGGTGAGCTGGGCCAACGAGCGCTTCCTGCGCCAGCCAGCATCGTGCAGCCATGTATCAGGTTGGGAGCCAACAACTGCATCCCCCCGCTCCGCAGTCTCCGCAGAAGACCGTAGCGGCCGCGTGATAATACTCGCGCCTGTATGGATGCCATTCTTCTTGTTCTCCGACTCGACCGTTACGGTGAACCTGTGTAATTGATATACACGATCAAAATCTACAGAAACTAATAAGAACTAATTTAACACGAACCCTGCCACGATTTTTAATATGCCTTCTGAATTGCTGGAATTCTGGACGCAATAGGGAAGTCCACTGCAATAAACGTGTTAAAAACTACTACACTAGTAAAAATTATAAGTAATGAATAACCTAAATTGGTAGGTCATTATGGCCTGTACTGTTTCAAACAGATAAAATTGTTAACAGGGGGTCAAGACAGACCAGACATAGTACACAGACTATTAAATTATACAAGACTACACAGAACATAATATAGTAGATATATGAGTCAGTGTGGAGTGGTTATCGTGATAAGTGTGACGGGTGTCAGCTCACCTGCTATCCTCCATTGTTCCGCAGGCTGACTATTGACTACCGGAAGCTTGTCTTGTGATATAATTGCTTCACTCTTATCATAATATACGCGATCGTATTTTGGCTCAGCCACATAATTCTCTGGTGATGTATCTGAAACAAAAGACAAACGATTTTATTTTTAATGTAACTTATAAATGACGTCACACATAGTTTTTAAGTGATCACCATTAATGTAGATTTAATAAGAAAAATATATATCGGAGAAAGCAAACGTTCAACTTATAACCTGATAACCTGAAGCCGCAGATGCGATGCAGGCTTTTTATGATGGTGTACGGTTTTGAAAGGCTTTGAGTATAGAAGATATTTTTTCGATGAGTTACCAATGCTCAAAAGGTCCTAAAATTTTGCCATTATGAAAAAATGAGGTAACATTATATTAGGGTTGTTTCGGTAAAGAAATATCAAGGTCTGGTTAATAATAAGGCCGATTAAATATATTGGTAAATAAACGGAATTTGTAGGAGTTGTAAACTTGTAAATTGAATTTTCAATAAATTGATATCTAAAGTGGGTAGTTGTAAAGTAATTGAGGAACAGCTCTATTCATTATCGTAAGTTGTTCGCAAGTGGATTATACCAGAGATAATGTCTGTTGCTCTACAATTCTATAAGCACTACAATATTATTAGGAATGTGTTGAATTATTATTGAATTATATGTTTGTTTAGTTGGAACAATGTTATCTTTTACACGTATTTAATGTATTATCACAACTTAGGTCATTAAAACATCCGTGTACTATTGGTTCTAAACCAATTTCCAAACCAACGGTTCTAAACCAAAGGTCCTCAGAGATAATGTGTTTGATTGATTTAGTAAGTATGATAAGTAAAATAGCGACAAAGTATGAGATTGGTGTAGCACCATATTGGGAGAAATAACAAAAAAAAATTTTTTATTAATTCCACTTTAAATGTAGTAGTCGTCGTTAACAAGAGGATTATAAAAGTGATTCCAAACAATACAAGGTTTACACAGAAAAAATACGTAGTAAGACATCAAACTATTTACTATACTTGAAAACGCTTCTCAGCTATAAAAAATTAAATAAATAAATACTAATTACTATATAAATAATAACTAAATACTAAATACTTTGATCTAGTGAAATCTTACATCATTTTTTATTTCCTATAACTTTGTAACTTTTATGTCTACGTCTACTGAAACATAAAAATAATAAGTACAATACAATTCGACTAAGTAATTTTATGTTTATTTGTATACTCGACACGTAACAATTTACACAAGGTAAGTCTAAGAGTGGTTTCCTTATATAAAATTTTACTTCTTTGAAAATTATTGCTTCTGTAATTTTACCGTGTATTTTAGAGAGTCTTTTTATCTATTTATCAATTTAAACAACAAATAAAATAAGCATTTTATTTAAAAAAATGTTAAAAAATCATTTAACATAGTGTCCCATATTACAATAGCTATATTAATTATAAGTTTCGATCTGATGGATCGGAGGTATGCATACGTATAATTTAACTATAAACCGAGCAAATTATTTCTATAAAAACCTGTTATTTGCGATAAATAACAAACCGCACCGGCTTTAACACACTTGTTTTAAAAAACCAGACTGCATTAGAGCAATTACAAAAATATTACATGGATTAAAAATGTAAATTCATTTGTTTATGCTCAAACTACATTGGATTTTGTCGAGATTAAATGATTTACTATAATGATTTCGTGTCATTTTATTTTACCCAACTAAGAGAAATGTATTTATCTTTATCTTTATTTAATTTATTTAATATTATAAATGCGAAAGTATAGATGGATGGATGTTTATTAGAGTTTGTAGTCTAAACTGTTGAACGATCTCGATGAAATTTGGCATAGATGTAGAGCATAGTTTGGAAGAACAGATAGGCTACTCACTTTTGTTTTTTTAATTCCACTCGGACGGAGTCGCGAAAGAAAGCTAGTTAACCATAAATTATAATATTATTTTTATGTTACGTCACATTTGATGTAATTAACGGCGACGTTCACACGAATTTATAGTGCTTTAGACGTCTTACAATTATTTTTAAATATTTAAATGGTATTAAAAAAATGAAGGCCAGCCTTAGTGACCAATGAAAGACACACCAATCTAAACTGAATTATGCTTTTAGTTTTTGTTTATAAATTGTCCTATAATTAATTCAAATTAATAACCAGAAATCTATGTTAAGTTTAAGCGACAGACACATGGCGGCAAAGTTGTGAGTTCGCGATCGACGGGAGGCTTTCGGAACCGCTTCAACCGCGTCGTTCTGGTTTGAACCGGCGTACGACAGATATCACTGGTAGACCGGACGTCTTTGCGCGGTAAACGTCCTTCGTAACTCGGGTAGTCACCTCCTTGAGTTAATTAATAGATATATATATTAGATACAAAAAAGAACCAAATGTTATTACATATATAGGAAAAAAATAATAATATCGGTGTTGAAAAACTTAATAAAACCTTGCGCGCCGACCTCATGTGAGTGCTATAAGATAGGCTAAGAATATGATGATAATTGTTGAAAATAAATGAAGTCTGGAAGTCAGTTGGTGACGTAATTGGCAAATGTTTAAATATAAAACAAGTGGCGATCATAAATTGTTATCTCTCCCAGCCTGAATTCCAACTTAATTTATAACATTATCTGAGTATCTTACTAATTTTACCAATAGATGGATGTTTGTTAGAGTTTGTAGCCTTAACGGCTGAACGGATCTCGATTAAATTTTTGTATAGACGTAGACGATAGTCGGAAAGAAGACATAAGCTACACACTTTCGTTTTTTTTTTAATTTCACGCGGACGGAGTCGCAAACCAAATGAAATAAAGTCTGTTCTTTAATGTGTCTAGTATTTTTAGTGAATTGTGATTACTGCCTACTGTCGCTGAATATTGATGGCAGTTAACCTTTCGCGATGTTGCGAATTTTAAACAGATTATGTCCGGTTAAGGCCATATGTTATGTTTTATTTTAAATTCATAATATAAGTTTCAACAATTATCTCGTTAATTAAAATCTAAGATATATTGCTACTAGTAATAACATTTAGTATTTCGTTATATAATGAACGAATGATTAAAAACCTTTTGCCACCAGAAACAATTGAACTTTGGAAGTCAGAAATCTATATTTTTAAAGATTTGAAACATACGTGTAACGAAATACATAACATATACATATATGTGAGTACTTTTGTGATTATTCTTAAAGCGGACACAATCCAAACAAAACTTTTGGACATGCGAATAAACTAAATATTGTATGTACATATTTTATGTAGAGTACTATATAAAGTAATGTAAAGCTAAAATATACTGATTGATATTGTCAATGTTTCTTAGAACTTACTAAGTAGTTTCATCAGAAATATTTTTTTTAACTAGCTTTCAGAATTAAAAAAAAACAAAAGCAAGTGGCCTATATATTCTTCCAGACTATCCTCTACATCTATGCCAAATTTCATCAAGATCCCTTCAGCCGTTTAGGCTACAAACTCTAACAAATATCCATCCATCCATCTAAACTTTCACATTTATAATATTTGTAAGAAGTAAGATAAGATTAAACTTGCTGAATTATCTGTATTAAATTCGATAGTAAAATTAATAATATTTTTACATCTATTTTATGTTACTTTTGCAAGTTGAGTAAATATTAGTAACATTTACCATTTGTTTTTTTTTTACCCATCCTGTCCATTTTCCATTAATTAATGGCAACGAATTAGTTTTTTATTGTTTAACGTTCATTTGGAAGTTATCATCGAAAATCCTTTTTACTCAATCTTATTTAAATTCATAAATCATACTAAAATTATAAATGCGAAAGTTAAGATGGATGGATGTTTGTTAGAGTTTGTAACCTAAACTGCTTAACGGATTTCGATGAAAATTAGTACAGATGTAGAGAATAGTTAGGAAGAAAACATAAGGTACTCACTTTTGTTTTTTTTAATTCCACGCGGACGGAGTCGCTGGCAAAAGCTAGTAATTACATAAAACGATAACAGCTGTTGACAAATTAACAGAGTATATGTTTAACGTACAAGGTAAAAGTCCATTAATCAATTAAACCTTTAGCTTATTAATCCATTGTATAAAATAATCTTTTTAAGGAAAAAGCTACACAGACGGGGAACCCCGCCGCATGACTGACGAATATTGACTTCGTTACAGCCTAACTGACGTTATTCCAAGAACCTTTCCAATTTTTTATGGTCCTCTATGTATTATGTAAAATTCGAGATCTATCTTAAAGATCGAATATTCATATCCTTCGAATTCTCAAAAATCAATAAACTTTTTGTGCTTGACATAAATAAGTATGCTTTTCGCGCCTAATTTGAAACAACAATTTACTTAACAAGCAGCCTTCGTAACACCATAAAGGCGACATGTTAATCCGATACAAACACAGCTTGTCATTTGCACAGAACAGAGCATGTTGTGCCCACTGGTATGCTTGCGCAACACAAAAAAGGCACTGTTTGAAAATGACACCTCTATTGCCAAGTGTGCATTTGACATCTATGTTATATTTGTATTCAATTTTATACAATACTAGATGTTGCTCGCGAGTCCGTCCAAGTGATATTAACAAAAAATTAGCCTATAAGGCTATAAGTCTTTGTCAGCTACCCTTCAGTCCCTTCTTACCCTTCCGGTCATAATCGGCCCAACCGTTTCGGAGATTACCCGGAACAAACGTGACTTGCTGACAGACAGACAGCAATTTTTTCATCAGATGATGAAAAAATCGGGAAGATTCCCGAAATCTGAAATTTTTATTTTGAACAACAGACACTCTATTATGATGATGATGATTTTAATATGTACATAATATTTAAGAATGTATTTGGGATATTAAAATATACTAACAATAGACAATTCCTGATATTTCTGGTTTTTTGTATCCGTGGTTTTGTCTTTCAAAACATATCTGCAATACTCGATAATACGGGCACAATTTAATAATCTGATGCAATTTGAATCTGTATTTTTAACTCTGTATTGATTAGATTAAAATAAGTTATAAATAAGCAATTAATTGAAACCCAACTTTGTGGTATGAACACTTAA